GCCCTTCCAGGCCAGGCAGGATCCATTTCCCCAGCCGCAGCGCCAATATGCCCCGCCACTAGCAGCTCCAACTCCAGATAATCAGGTGTCCGAGTTGAAAAACATTTTGGCGACATTCATGACTACCAGCCAGGAAAATTTTGCCAGGATGGACCAGAGCCTCGCCTCACTGGAGGCAGGCCAGAGAAACCAAGGTGCTATATTGCAGGACCTCCAGATTTAGATTGGAGGAATAGCTCGCCAGAACAATACCAGGACACCGGGAACTCTACCTGCCACCACCATCCCCAATTCGCGTGAGCCTCACCAGCAGCTGAATGCCATCACTTCTAGGAGTGGCAAGACAACATCGGCGGTACCTGCCCCGGCCAGGCAGGAGGAGCCACTACCTGCTTCACCACTTCCACCCGACGATGTAGAAGTGGCGATGGAGAAGGAAGACCCTGCTCCCAAGCCACATCCAGTGGTTAAGGAGCATGTTCCCCAGCTTTTCTTCCCCAGTCGACTACACAAGGACAAGCTAGAGACTGAGTTTGCCAAATTCATGGCAATGTTGAAGCAGGTCAACCTCAACCTGCCGTTCGTAGAGGCACTGTCAAAGATGCCCAAGTACGCAAAATTCATGAAGGATATCCTCACCAACAAAAAGCGACTTGGGGATCTCTCGACAGTGATCCTAAGCGAGGAGTGCTCGGCCATTCTGTAGAGCAAGCTTCCAGAAAAGCAGAAGGACCCAAGTAATTTCACTATCCCATGCTCCATTGGCAAATTACATGTAGAGAGGTCCCTAGCGGATCTAGGTGCTAGTATCAATGATATCCCGTACAAATTGTTCAAAAAACTAGGCCTAGGTGAACCCAGCTCAACTAGGATGAGTATTCAATTAGCTGACCAATCTGTGGTTCATCCTAGGGGTATAGTGGAAGATATCCTGGTAAAGGTTGGCAGGTTTTGTTATCCTGTGGATTTTGTTGTTTTAGACATCAATGAAGACACAGAAGTGCCACTTATTCTAGGAAGGCCCTTCCTGACCACCGTCATGGCCCTCATAGATGTCCGTGATGGGAATTTGGTTTTGAGAGAAGGCGAGGAGTAGATAACTTTCTCTATCGCTGATAATAATAGGCATGTTGCCTCGCCTATGCATGCTATTTCTCACCAGGTGAACGAGCCTGTCGTGTATCTGTCTATGCCTCTAATTTTGCAGGATCCCCCTCTCTATCCTTCGCCGCCACTCCCTTCGACCTCACTACCAAATAAGAAGATCAAGGAGGAGTGGCGGCCTAAGCCGCAGGTGGCTAAGCATGCTCGAAAGAAAGCTGGTGACCACTATGAGTTGGTCCCTCCTCGTGAACCACGACCACCCTGGCCATCCGAGTACTCACTCGCTTGCATCCTGCCGGATGGCCAGGTCGAGCTGACAAATACTGGTGGTCACCCCCGTCGGGTGCATGGCCACCATCTGAAGCTGTACCTCAAGAGCGATGTGGATCCGCTCTTGGAGGCACCTATTCCTGCACCCCTCTGAGCATCCACCATGGGCGTCCAACTAAATGACGATAAAGAAGAGCTTGTGGGGAGGCAACCCCACCATGGTTTGTTTTCTTTTCTTTTGGATGAAGTACTATTGGGCTGAAATTTTACCTAATGTATATGTGCTTAAGTGCTTGTGTCTTCTTTAGCCTTGCCTTTGCCCGACTGGTCCTCCTTCCAGTGTCACTGTAGTCTGATTATGCCGGTAACATCGTTCCCCTTATCTTTCCCTCTTCTCCATTGAGGGCAATGTCGAACTTAAGTGTGGGAGGATGTTTCTAATTCGACTGCTTAGATCTGTTTGTGTACTTGGAGCCTAGTCCACTGTCCAAATTTCAATTTGAGGGCTCCAAGTACGTGTTCCTTGCAAATTGCCTGCTCATTATGCTTTGAATTGACAGTCTCTATAGTAATGTGCAACTTAGGGAGGTAGTGTAGCACTATGGAGGATGTTGAAGTATAAGATTTTTCCTATCTATCTCTCTGTTGTGCCGGTTGATTTTGTGAATTAGTGGAGTTAAGACCGTTGAATTCATGTAGTATTGGTGACTCCTTTTGAATTGTGTTATGGACTCGTGTATCGAACAAGGTGCTCATGTGCGAAATGAAAAGCAGCTGGTCCTCCATGTCGAAATCATTGAAATCTTAAACATGGGGTAAGCCCAACGTGTCTGGCACCGTTCATTGCACAAAATTGGGTTTTGGAAGAGATTTTAGTGATCCTTAGTGGGGTACTCCTACAAGGTGAAGCTAAGCTGTCTCTGGTACGAGTAAAATTTTCACCTATTGAACAGTTTGCCTACTCGAGGATGTGTTTTTAAGGGCACGCATAGAGCTTCCGACCTACCTTAATTTCATTGACCCTCCACACGAGTTGAGGAAAAAGAGTTAAAAGAAGTACTCTGGCGAGTGTCAGATGTATAGAAATTGCTCTTGCTCGACTAATAAGGTTCGACCGTACAAAAGACTGTAGTTGGAACCCCCGCCAAGTGGAAAAAAAATGCAAAATGAAAGTGAAAAAGGGGTTCCAACGATGGAATGAAGAGAAAGAGCACCCCGGTACAATGAGTCCCTGGTTGTGAATGGTGTGAGTCCCTTTACCCATGAACTGGCTGTCTTACTTCCCCTTCTTCTCATGATCCTGGCTTGAGTCTAGTACTCACATTGAGAGAGATAGGGGACGTCTTAGAAGACCAGTTGACCTCGTAAGCTGCTATATTATCAAGGAAATCCTCTATCGACGATCGGGGGTGTTTGTTGCTATAGAGGTCTGGAGAGATGCATTGGTTTGAGTTAGGTTTGCTTGGGGACAAGCAAACGGTTAAGTGTGGGGGAATTTGATAGACCAATAATTGCACATATTTTTACCTCCATTCTTGAGCCGTTTGAGAGTCGATTCTCGTTTTTTAAGCCGATTTCACGCTAGGTTGTGTGTTTATGTCATATTTAAGGACCTAGCATTGACGTGAAGGCAAGGAAACGAGTTTCGGGCCAAAAGGAGGTCGTTAGAGTAGAAGGGTGCTGGAGGAGCAAAATACCCGACCTTGAGTAAAAATACCCGGCGGGGTAAATTGCTAAGAGAGGCCGGGGGAAACCGATTTTGGACGTCGAGAAACAGAAGGGGTCCCGGCCAAGGACCGAAAATACCCGATCGGGTATTCTGGACCTCGATCAGGTATTAACCCTGTACCGCTACGCTGCGTTTCAAAATCCCGGGCCAGGCACCTGAAATACCCGACCGGGGATCGCGAACAGCTGGTTCTTAAGGGAAAGAAGGCCAATTTTGCGAGGGTTTCGAGTTTTAGAGAGACAAAGCGTATACCTAGAGAGAAAGTGACGAACCTGATTCTTCAAGCGCCCTAGATCGATCTTCATCACCATTGGAGCCCGGTTTGAGCTTGGAGGAGTGCTGATTGATTGCCAGAAGCAGGATCCCATCCTTCACATTATGGTTTCCGCATCTGAGCTAGATTTTCCGTCTTGTCTATGTAGTAACTTTCTCATTCACCTGGGTATGAAGAACCCTAGATTTGTATGTTAGGTCTGATTGTATGAACCCAAGTACGAATTCAATGATATGATTATATTCAATTGAGGTTTGATTTCTTGAATGACATGAATCCTGATCAAATTCCTGTTATTTCTGCTTTGACCTAGAAAGAGAATATCTGCATAGGTTGATAGAGCACCCTTGATTGAAGGTAGTGAATTGACGAATTTAGTCGAGGAGTCAATTCACTATTCTGTACCGAATTTACTTCGGTAGAGGAGGTTTGGTTCGTTAGGGCCTCAATCTGTTTACTCCGGTAGAGGTTAGTCGCCCGCTAGGGACTCAGATTGAGAGGGTCTGGAGACCTTTAGTCAAGACTGCAGACCGTTTAAGAACCTCCCGCAGTATAACTATCATTGAATTTGAACTTGGTAAATGACAACCTGGTTTAACTACAGTCTAGGGGGAACCATATCTGGGTGACCTCTCTCAACTTGAACACAACTTTCATTACTTTGCTTGCTAGTTTAACTAAACCTTCACTACACTTGAACCGCTAGATAACAAGACTTGCACGGAGTAGTTATCACACCTAGGACCCGGGTTGAGAATTAGAACTGAACCCGCTATACTACGCGTTAGTAGGTGGTTACACTTGGCCACTTTCTAGTGTGACGGTAGAGGCATGTCAGGTAAACCAAATACCGTAATATTTATTATGTGATATGATATGGGATTAAGAATTTCAATATTGGATATTCACGGATTTATCCGCTAACACCCATTTGGATAATATGAGTACTCGTAATACCCATTACAATTTATTCCCTATACAAATACAATATTCAAAACATATAATCAATACAATAGTCAAATACAATTGTGCTCACCAAATTCGAACCATGTCCAAATATAATAGTTTAATCAATTCAAGCAGAGAGCAAAAATAGAGAATAAGCTCGCTTCCTTGTTTAGTTGTTTTGATGGTGGAGCTGGGTAGCTTTAGTTTATTGTGTGTTTTGCTGGGGTATGGATGTATTACTGCTCGGCCAATTGTTTGTTAATGTTCCTTGTTCATTTTATTTAATTTTAATAAATGATTTCACCGTTATAAAAAAAGAATAGAAGAAAAAGTCAAATAACAAAACCCACCTAAATTTATAAGTTATCCATGGGCACCCGTTAACTTGTACGGGTTTGATACTTATGAATTTTTCGGTTTTAGGTATTCGGTTCAGTGTTATTTGATAATAAACTTTTGTGTAATTAAAAAATGGTTCATATGAACATGTTCACATCAGTACCTAAATTTAGCCTAGAAATTCTAACACTAATGGTTTTCCTTGGAAAAAAATAAAACAATAAAACCTAAAAGTATAAGCGTAAAAGACTACAAAAATATGAGGTTTCTTCCTTTCTGAAATTACTAGAGAAGTTGGTTGAAACATTGATGAACACACAATACAAATTGATTAGCCCAAATAATCACTTATCTTCTGGTAAATAATAGAGCAGCTAAACCTAAAGTCAAGTAAAACAAAAAAAAAGTAAGGCAAACTATATAATTTGGTAGATGCTGCTCCTTAAACTTAATCCCATATCCCAATTGGAAAAAAAGGAAATAACGGAAATTTATATTTCGGTTCCGTTCCCTACTTCTTCTCACTCCAGTTAATAATTACAAGTAGAAAAACTAATTTAGACCCAACCGATAGACACCATGTCGGCAGGTTGCAGCTAAATTTTTTCCTAAAAAATTTAGTATTGTATTCATTATATCATCATGACAATCTCTCTATTGGCAATGTGCTGTCACAGATTTTATCACCAGCCTTCTCCGCCTGAAAAAAAAAAGGGCAATGTCTATTTTTTACCCAAACCTTTTTCAGATTCTTTTATTTTAACCAAACCTATAGAAATTCTATTTATTATCCAAACGTATTATAATTTATCAAAGTCTGGGCATTCATTCTGTTACCGTTACTTATTTCGTCCACGTGAGGGATGAGATTTTGTTTTATTTTTTGATAATCTTTTTATTAAAAATAGTAAATGATGGTATTCTGACCGCCACGTAGGAAGTCAACTCATTATTGTCATACTTAGTCAGCATTACTAACAGAAAAGTTGACAGAGAGTTAACGTTTGGATAATTTTTAGGAATTCAATAGGTTTGGTTAAAATAAAAGAATCTGAAAAAGATTTTGGTAAAAAATAGACATTACCAAAAAAAACAACGAACTATAAAAATGTAAATCGCAACGTATACAAAACTCACAAGGATGGTTTGAAAGATGAGATAGACTTACTTCTTTATCCCAATTAGTACGGATAGCAACAATGGAAAGACAAGTTACTTGCACCACTAGAGCGCATGTGATACCTAAATAAAGACCCTACCACACCAAAAAAAAGTTCAAAGGGTAAGAAAACCAATCATGCAAAGAGAAAAGAACAAGAAGCAAGATAACAGAGTGGATTCCATTAGTAAAACTAAAATCTTAATCTTCAATCCCAAATTCTCAATTCAATTCCTAAATTCTATATTTCAATCCCATTCCCAATTTCGTAACCCGACCAGCTAATGTCCTGAATCATTGGATTTCGACCACCATACATATAACTTTTCTTATTGAGGCAAATTACCTTTCCACCAATGTGAAGAAGGAAGGCAAACAAAAATCCACACGGAATGCCGACCATATAATAAGATCCCAGATTTATATACGCTCCGATTTCCTGCCATCCGCACCCTCTAGCAGTACCTATATAGATCGACATGTTGAATCATATGAAACAACTACTATTACTATGTGATACTTATGAAAGAGTTACTGTATTATATATGTGCATAAACACCTGAGAGAACGCACTGGAAGCCATCGAAGAAGTTGGCAGCTGCTGCAATGGGCAGCATCTGAGCCACATAGTTGATCACCTGTTCATCACTGCTAAATGCACAGCCCCAGAAATTGCGTACTGAAAACAGTATCGTTCCCACCAAGATCCCTTCTGCGACTGCAATTCCAACCACTACACGCACCGCCATGCCTGCCTTCTCCGGATGCCCTGCTCCCAGTTCGTTTGACACCCTCGTGCTGCACAAAATTAAGCAAATCCGAGAACATGCGCAAACTAACTTAAACCCAAAAATTGTGTAACAATTTCTACTATGAACTCACCTTGCAGCACTACTGAGCCCGCTTGGGATCATCCATACCGTCAATGCTGTGTTCAGGCTGCAAAAAAAACAGAGAGGGTCGGTCGACTGTTAACAGTAATAATCCCTAAGCCGTTGACAATGGCAGGATAGAATAGTACTGAGCTGATACCATATAGAAAGAACTGATGTCTCCAGTTTTGGATTGGGAAGAAGGCCCGAGGCAAGCACCAAGAGCTCAAATGACCACAACTCGAAGCTACAGAGTCGTAAGCAAAAACAGAGAGTACCCATACATGAAGAAGTAATTAATCATATAGATTATAGACCCAAAAAAAAAAAAATGCACATTGGTTCCATTGATTGATTAATTACCAGACCATAAAAGCGGACGGAATGGCAAGCTTGAGGAAAACCCAGATGTCCCTGAACGCCTCCCTCGAGAACCCGGTCCACGTCACCAAACAGGAAGGCGAGAACTTGATGTACATCGACAAGAGAAGGACGTTGACCCAATTGGACACCGAGAGTGAGACGGCGGCGCCGGGGGAACCCAGGGGCGATCTGAAGACGAGGAGCCAGCAGAGGAGGAGGTGGATCAGAGTCGCCGCGGCAGAGCAGAGCACCATGGGGAAGACGATGCTCTGCGTCTGGAGAAACTTGACGAGGCACTGCAGGACGCCGTAGGCGAAGATGGACGGGATCATGGATCGAACGTAGGTTCCGGCGCCGGCGGAGATGTCGGGCTGCTGTCCTAGTGCCGTCAGGATTGGGCCTGTGTTGGCCCAAATTAGGGACAGGGGAACGCTGGCGGCTAGCATGACCACCATGGCTCGCTGCGTGTGTATGCTCATCATGTGGTACTGTTTCGCTCCGTAAGCTTGCCCGCAGAATGTTTCCAGCGCGCTCGCCATTCCAAGCTGCAGCATCCATCAAATTCAAAAGTCACAGCTTGTTATTGGATTTCTTTCTACGCTATGACTTGAAGACAAATTGTATGTGATCAATGAACTACATAAATATGTTTTTTTTTTTTCTTGTATTGTCAATTTCCTATTCAGTTGAGCAGGAAAAGGAAAGAAGGAGAACGAGATGGAACGTGAGTGCGTACCAGTACGCTTAATCCGGTGACGGAGGCGAAAGAAGTGGCCATGGCAGCTGAAGACAAGCTGAGCTCTCCGAGGTGGCCGACGAACATGACCGATATGAGGTTAAGGCTGTACTGTAGCAAGCTCACTGCGATTAACGGTCCTGCCAGCCATGCTTGCTTCTCTACTTCCTCCCACAACTCACCTGATCTCGTCCCCTCCGCCGGCGCCGGCTGTGTCGTCGTCATCGCAATCAAAGGCGCCCTCAACGGCGCTTCCACCGGTGCCGATTCCGCTTTCGTTTCTCCTTCTCCTAGGCGTCCCATCTTGAGTTCCCCCCCACCCGCCAAATAAATCGAGGAGCTAATCAGTTATCAGTGTACGGGCGGGTAACGACAATCCATGGAATGGGAAATGGATGATAAAGATGTTTAATAATTAATTAATTAATTAATCAATTACGTGAACATATGTGGGCCGTGGTTGGGCCTAGTGGCGAATTGGATTGTTGTGCTTCTGTCTGTCTGCTTGTTTTTGTGATTTAATTATTTAAAGGGTTAGTAGCATAAATTGTCCCTTTACTATTGCATTTTTTTAAACTTGTCATTCTATTTTTTACATCAAACTTGTCCCACTATTATAATTACATACTGAAATCTGCCCTTCTATTACTTTTTTCGTCTGACCTCCGTGAACCAGGTTAGACAAAGCCTGAGTCTAGGTATAATTACCTGTTTAGCCCTACTAATTACACTTTACCTTCCTCAACCCAAAACAGAGAAGTTCCGGTAGAGGTAGGTGAAGCCGATTTCGACGGTGGAACTAGATCAATGGCGACCCCTGATGCACACGCACCACGGAATCAATCGAAACCATGCCTGAAACGCAAATGAAAAAAATTCCTCAACAAACAGATCAACGAACACGGGATCAGATCGGTCGGCGGGTTCTTCCCAACATCGACGCCCACGAGGCATGGGACGACGATCCGCTTGTCAACTGAAGTGACGGGACGATGATAGCGCCGGGACTAGATAATGAGATCTGGGTTTCCAACTAAGAGTTATGGCGTGGTTTGAAGTTTATGTTACGAGCTTCGAGAGCCGACGACGACTTGGATGATAAAGCCTGCACCTACAAAACCTTAATCATCCATCCAAAACACCCATCCAAAATTGAAATCTCAAAAAGCTAATTCCAACAGATTGAATAAGAGATAATGAGTTGTTTCTTTGATTTTGAGATAAGGGAAGTAGATTATGGGTTCGGATAAGGGTTCACTCGGTGGCGGCAGGGGAAGGATGGAGTCGATTGGACCTCTGACTCACTCATCGGGTACGACTGTTGATTTGCCGGTGATTTGGAAATACTAGATTTAGGTATGGGGTTTTGATTGAATGTTTGGAAAAAAGGGTTAATGGCACATGAAAAGGGCGACAATCACGACGGCGGCGAGTTGAATTCTATGACGGAATTAGATGGTGGTTGACCGGGTTCGGGCCGGGTTCGGATTTAAACCCGGTGGCTGGTTGGGCGGGTTCGGGTTTGGGGGAACCCGACCCGTGGATACCCTGACATACATCTAACCCTATCCTAAATTACCCTAGTCGACCTCAGCCCACTTCCTTCCCACTTCCCAGAGACACAAATCACAATTCCCAGCTTCCCATCGCTGCCAAATCCAATCTGTCCGCAACTCATCTTCCTCTCCGGCCTCCGCGACTCCTCTTCTCCACCTCCCGTCCCGACCCCCGACTCTCAATCCGCCTGGCGACGGCCGCCCCGCCACCACCAAAACCCTCCTGTCCCGACTCCCGAGTCCCGACTCCCAATCCGCCTGGCGACGGCCGCCCCGCCACCACCAAAACCCTCTGCCGAGTTTCCGCAATTCCGCCTCCATTCCTGAATCCCGACGCGCTCTCCCCTGCTCTTCATTTGCTCCGGCTCCGCCTCTGCGACTCCATTACCGGCCGCGCCCTCTCCGGCTCTCCCTGCTCCTCTGCCCCGCCACTCTCTCCGACTCTCCCTGCTCCTTAGCAACAACCTCCCCGACCACCTCTCCGCCGTCTACCTCCGATCCGTCGACTCCGCCGCCGGACACGCCACCAGGTCCAGAATCTCCCTCCCGACCCCTCTCTCCAGCATCAGCCGCTCATTTCTTGTCTTGGGAAAGCTCTTCTCCAATCCAAACACTCAAGTAAACCCTAAGTAGTTGTTGGTGTGTATGTTAATTAATTTGGATTGAAGTAAACCCTAAGTAGTTGCTGTTAATTAGTTTGGATTGAAGTAAACCTAAGTAGTTGCTGTTAATTAATTTGGATTGAATATAGTGATTATATTTGTGGTCCGCATGATTCTTTGCATCACTTTGGTAGGTGTTAAGTGGACGAGAGATATATATATTGTTAGAGAGCTATTAGATAAGAGATTTGGGAAGTTGAAACTGTCACTCAATTCACTATGATTTTGCTTTGTGTAGGTGCTTGATATGGCTTCAAATGCCTCCGAAGCCGGAACTCCAATTGTTAGTGGAGGTGATGAGACTATTGGTACTACTTCTACACCTACTGCGGGATCTCAGTCCCAACTTCCTAATCCCACTAGTGAGAGTGGTAATGGTGCTGCTGCAGCTGCAGCACCTACTGGTGTAATGGATAGTGGACAACCAACAAGATCTGATGAGGTTAATGTTCTTGATACAAGTGGGCTTAAAAGTGATGTTTGCCAGCATTTCAACAGAATTTTGAAGGATGGGGTTCTTAGAGCCGAATGCATACGATGTAAGAAGCTCTTATCTGCTTCTACTAATAACGGGACCAGTCATTTGCGCCAGCATATTCTACATACATGTCCGAGGAAAAAATGCAAAGATCTTAAACAAATGCTTTTGACAAAAAATTTGAAAGGAGATGTTAGCAAAGCAAGTGGCAACAAATTTGATGAGGAAGAAGGGAGGCGTGCTTTAGCTTCCATGATTAATTACATGAGTACCCTCTCTCTATTGTCGAGCATATTGGTTTTAGAATATTTATCTTCATCATTCAACCTTTATTCAAGTGCCCTTGTCGAAATACATTGAAGAGTGACATTTTCAAGATAAGGATTACAAGATTGTATAAGATTGTATTTCCTCGTCTGAAGCAAATGGATAAGGATTACAAGACTTTACCTAGTGAGTCTAATTGGGAGTTTGCAAGGAAGGTTTGTGACAAGTTGGAGTTGTTTTATGATGTGACTGAGCTGTTTTCAGGGGCTAAATACCCAACTTCCAATTTGTTCTTTGAAAAGGCGTGCGACATAAAGGTGGGCATCTCTAATTGGATGTTGGATGATGATGCTTTCATTAGAGATATGGCCAAAAGTATGATGACAAAATTTGAGAAGTATTGGAGTACTATTCATGATGTTTTAGCTATTGCTGCTGTATTTGATCCAAGGTATAAGTTTACCTTGTTGGAGTGCTATTTTCCAGATATCTATGGCGTTGAATCAAGGGCATGTATTGAGAGTGTTCGACAATTGTTGGTTGAATTGGAGAAGGATTATAAGAAGTTAAATGTGGAGGTGAGTCAAGAAGGCAATTCGTCTCATGATGGGAGTTCGATTAGTCAAGGTGGAGGAAGAATGACAGCATATGATAGGTATGTAGCATTGTTGACTACTAGCAGTGTAGATGTTGAAACTGAGTTGGATGGTACCTCAAGGAGAAAGTCTTGCCCAAGACAGCTGGATTTGATATTTTATTGTGGTGGAAGGCAAATGAGTCAAAGTATCCGACTTTAGCATTGATTGCTAGAGACATACTTGCAATTCCAGTGACTACTGAGGCTTCTGAGTCTGCTTTTAGTGCGGTGGAAGACTAGTTAGCCCTAGTCGCAGTAGACTTCTCCCAGAAACTGTTGAGGTTCTAATGTGTGCTCAAAACTATAGGTGTCAATCGGGCGGGTTCGGGTCGGGTTCAGTCGGGTCGCGGGTTAATCGGGTTGTGGGTCAAACGGGTTGCGGGTCAAGCGGGTTTGGGTTGATCGGGTTGCAGGTTGATCGGGTTGCGGGTTGATCGGGTTGCGGGTTGATCGGGTTTGGGTTGATCGGGTTGCGGATCAGTCGGGTTACGGGTTGATCGGGTTGCGGATCAATCGGGTTCGGGTTGATCGGATTGCGGGTTACAACAGGTCGGGTTGCGGGTTGTTCGGTCCACACCATCGAGTTTTTTTATAATTAGTTATTACACTATTTTTTTTTGAGAGAGTTATTACACTAATTTAAAACAAACTCACCGATCACCATATTGCAATGAATAAAACATGAATGTACATTATTAAACAAATGAATGACTAGATTCGTGACGTGCTAGGCACAACCCATTAAATTTCGTGTCGTGCCATACAAGCCCATTTAACAGTTTTATTAGGCCCGGGCCCAAGCACGAGTCAAGTCGTGCCGTGCCTGATCATGTTTATGTCGTGCTTTTATTTTGTTCACATTCGTGCTTATTCGTGCTTTCTAGTGTAATTTAACTTTCATTCTTATTTTATATGGTAACACACGCTTTTAATATTCCTTACTCAACTTCATCTACAAATTATTAACTTCATGTAACTTTAATTAAATACTAATATCTAGCACTGCATTTTCGCGTAGCTAATTATAAACCGCTAGTCATATATCCACTATACATATATTAACATGCAAATTGAAAACACGAACTCTTTGTAACATGAGATTCTAACATTAATATGAATAACTGATACAAATATCATTTATGGATCAGTGGTAAATAACATACAATTAAAAAAAACTCATTGTTGTATGATGAAACTCAACCTAATGAGAACCAATTACAGATCTATGAGATAACATTTTCTTGCTCTGTAACTATAGTTTCCAGGTCTGCCTTTTCTTCATCGATTCCATAATTTTGCTTTCAATTGTCCGCTCAAAGCATTTAAGACCTTCAAGCCTTTCCCACCCTAGAAACATAATTCAAAGGAGTTCAAAGTTACTACTCTCTCTAGCAAACTCAACTGCTGAAGCAATCAGAAATAAATAAACCATATACAAAGCACTACGAACACTTGTCCACTCCCAAGAAGTCATGACAAAACAGAGTAGAAGCACATCATAATAGCTCATCTAAAAACAACTTCATAGAAGCTCACAACCCTCAAACTTCATCCTCACCAGTTACAACTATCCAAACCAAGCAATAAATGTATGGCGTCAGTGATTCCTGCAATTTCTTGTACAACCACCTACCTACCTTATATAATTAATCAACTGCAATTTCTTGTACATCATAATAGCTCAT